CTCCAGTTTCATATACTCTCTAACCCTATTCTCCAGGTTTCCATACTCTCTAACACTTCTCTCTGGTTTATCATGCTCACTAGCCCTACTCTCCAGTTTCTCGTATTCTCTAAATCTACTATTTACACTCTCGTTCTCCCTGACCCTACTTTCCAGTTGCTCAACATCTTGAACTTACTCCCCAATTTCTCTGTTTCTCTCTCGTACTCTTTCACCCTACCGTCATACATTCTCTCTAACCCTGCTCTGTAGCTTCTCATACTTTCAGATTCCACTCACGTACTCTTCCAGCCTAACCTCATACTCGCTTACCCTACTCACCAGGTGTGCATGCTCTCTCAGTCTAGCTTCCATGAGCTCAAACCACCTCATCCGTGTGACCAAATCAGAATTTTCTGCATGCATGGCATTCAAGTTTTTGCGCAAATTCAGAACTTGAATCTGCTGACCCCGCAGCTTGTGCAGCGCTTCTTCCAGCAGGTGAGTTAACTCTGTTGAGAAGAGAAGCATGGACGGATAGAAATAAAAAGGGTGAATAATTTGGTGATGAAGTGCTCACTCAAAGCAACAATGGTTAAAAAACATCACTGAAGAGGCAAAATAGCTTGTATGCTCGCAGCACTGTAAATTTGATGTTTTGCAGCACTGCTTCTGAGACACTTTGCCTGAACAATGAGGTAGAAAAGAAAGTACTTAGATCGAACAACACTCGGGCTCCAGGTTGATGAGCAACCGCTTTCACCCCACTCACTTAACTTTCTCTTCGTCCGTCCACTGACCATTATCTGGCTGATTCCTGATCCGCAGACAGTGCTTCACTTTCCCCTCGAAAGCATTCAACTCGTAATTGCTCCATGCCATGGCTGCTTCAAGCTGCACGCACAACGAGGGGCGGGGGAGAAAATGAGCACATAGGCAAGTCTGATGCTGAATCTGATTGCATAGTTGTCGTGTTTCACTGGCAGCTTCTAATTGTCGCTTGACATAGGATTACAAGTTCCAGCCAATCGCGGAAAGAATGTACGACCAATCGTACATACAGCATCCCCTTCAGTGCCTCTAGATAAAACATCACTCAGTACCTCCTTCAGTTGATTTGCCGTGCGTGATCTGCTTGAGTAGTGGCCGTGCAGAATGTAAAAACTATCAACCCTGAACTATCAGAGTATTTAACGCGATGCTGATATACAATGAGCCTCGAGAACCGAAGAGGATACTTCATCAGGAAGTGGGTCGATGGGGTGATTGATCAGTCCATTATCAAGGAACCTCGTAGTAAATCTGGTTACAAGGTACGGCGAAAGAAGTTCAGGGAAGGCGATAAGGTGGTTGCATGGTCAACGGAACCGGCGAGCTGAAAAAACCATTACACGAGTCCCACAAAGGACTCGCGACGTACGGTACATCGATCGTAACCGGAGGGACGACGAGCGACTGAGGGACGGCGTTGATGGAACAAACGGAGGAGATGAAACCGCGGAAGGGAGCAGAAAACTATGCGCTGAGACAAACGACACGTGGCTTGCTGTTTCAACAAACGCAGTGTGACCAGAATCTAGGAGCCAGAGGCGGGCCCAAGGCTGCTGGAGGCGACGCATGCAAGGATCCATTGTGAGTGCGCCTGCTCGAGCTTTTTTGGTGATCGAAGTTCAAACCTGGCTGCTTGGCGCGCTGGCGTGAGCTTTTGGATCGAGAAAAAGGCCAACCAGCCTGCATGCAATGTCTTCTTCCGATACTAACAGCTGCGGTAGAGTGCTACGGTGTAGAATGAAAGATGCAAACAAAAAACAAGTAAAATAAAAACAGTGTGTGAAATGAGAAAGGGAACTTAGATATCAAGCAGGGGTAGCTAAAAGCAAAGCCGCCGATGACGGGGATCGAACCCGGATCTTCCGCGTGACAGGCGGAGATACTGACCATTATACTACATCGACCTGTCAGAAATTGTGTACAGTTTACTATAGCAGATACTTCACACTCCCTCCCGCCGATGCCGGTGTTCGATATTGCACGATCAATCGCCAAAATCTTTCCTTGTGTCCATGTCCTCAAGTTATATTTGGTCCTGCATGCAAGCATTTGCGACAAAACTACTTGTTTCATGCAGCAGCCTCACAAGCTCCCCTAGCTTGGGCTTCAATCGGTTTCCACCAAATCCTCGTCTTTTAGCTCCACCATAGACTGAATGTGATGGCTAAGAGCTGTGGTATTCCCTCCGCTGACACGCTGTTGAGTCCTCTCACAGATTCATGCATAACTTGAGGGGTAAAGTGTCAGAATGTTATGCTCTAGCCTGTAGTGGGTGCTCTATAGCGAGTACAACCCTTCTATGGTTTGCTATTTGTATCCTCATTCCTGCTAGTGAAAACCCTCTTCTTTGCCTAAAATGTCTCTTGCCTAGCTAGGAATCTCCTAGCTATGGCTCATAATCCTACCGCTTACTTCCACATAAAGGATAATGTGGAAGGAGCAGTAAGAAGCCATTCTGCAATGGCAGGAAACTCTCGGGAGGAGAAGGATAAATTAAGGGGAAAGGACCAGGCCCCTAGATTCGTTTTGAGGTAGTCTGAGGCCTTAGAGTACACCCCTCCTGGAACTCTGTCTGTCAGAGGTGCCTCAAAATTTTAGTCTGAAAATTCAGACAAGCACAATTTTTTTTGTCTGAACTGTCAAAGTTACTTCAAATTTTAAGATGTTCATGCAGTTTCGTAAAAGCAGTTATAATAGCATTGAGGCTGATTACAGCCTACCATACCAACGCATCAGGCAACGTGCTCGTGCTCGTGCATCGCCTCTGCTCATATCGGCGGCGTTCCAGTGTTTTTGTCACGTGCAGCGCATGGTTGTTTCTGCTCTGCTGATCTCATTTCGTTTTGTCGTGTGTGTGATTACCGTTCTGTACCCATTTTCTTGCATGTGTGCCGATTTTGTCCGTTTTAGATTTGCTTTTCAAGCGATTCGATCGTTCACCCGATCTGTATCAAATAGGCCAAGTGCCACGCAGCTGAGCCGGCAGCAGGCAGAAACTGTTGCTTGGCGTGGCATGTGAGGATCAGACAATGCCACACGAAACTTTCAGTACGAATCAGGAACTTCGCAATTCACACCAGTGCGTGCTGCAGATGTTTTTACAGCGAATCAGCATCAAAGTCGCCTATTCTTTACAATACATTAGCGATAACTTACATGTGACGAGTTTTTGTCTTCAGAAATCTCGTAATCACGCAACCAATTCCTCAGCGAAACTGGAAGATATTCTCGACAAACTAGTGTATTTGGATGTCCCAGCTGTCGAAGTGAGCATTGCTCATGTCCTGGCACTCCACTGCCATCTCGGAAGTGGGCATATCAGAAGGAAACTTCCAGGAAACTTTGCTCCGATAAGCGCGCAGAGTGTACCCCCGATACAAGTCTGAAGCTTAGCCTACCCTAGTACCGTCATCACCCGGATATAAGACAGTGTTGAATAGTAGACAAGGGTTGTCTATTATACGGGTGTCTCTTATAAACGGGGTAGCCTCATTATAAGACACCTATTTGTGTGTAGGGGCAAATGGCAAATGTATAACGAGGAAGTATCTTCTAAACGGATTTTTGTCCATTTATAAGACAGATTTTTTTAATGTATGAGATAAGACATACATGTCTTATATCCGGGCGATGATGGTAAAATTAGGCTGAAATTTCAGACAACTCATAAGAAAAAACTCTGGAAAATCAGACAAGGTACATAAATAATTTCTTTGAGTTCAGACTACGGTAGGTACAAAAAAAAAGTCTGAACGGACTCTGATTCAGACTCCAAAGTCTGATGTCTAGGGCACTGGAAATGACCCAGGAACAGCACGGTGAGGGTGTTCAGTCACTTGCCTTCAATAAGATATCTCGAGCATTTAACAGTTCTCCTTGCAACCTCTATGCTTCTGAATGATCCTTAGCTGTTGATACAACTCATCCCGCTCCTCAGCGGATAGGGAAGAAACCGAGGAGCGTACGGGAAGGGAATATTGCGGAAGCGGGACCACTGTGAGGATTGAGAGGATAATATTATGCCCGTGATGCACTCATTTGCTTAGGCTGGCTCGCTCAGCGAACAAGTAAGGCTTACTCAGGTGCTCTAGCGGATCTGAACGAGAGCGAGTTCGCAGGAGTGACACATGCTCCGTTTGACGGCAGATGGATGCGGCGCCTCCCATAATTTCGAAGCAACGAAACAACGTGATGCTTGATTATGCGGTACGAAATAGCCACAATAATAGACATGGTAGAGGGCCCTTTGAAAGCACAAAGGCAAAGTAGAGCGCAATGCAACATGATATTTCAATTGATATGGTACACAAGATTTTTTCGACTAAATACTCATGTACTACCTTGCAGCCGGATTGAAAATGTGCGAATTTCTGCAGGCCCCAACTCCACAACAAGAGAAGCAGGATCAACGAACGATTCTCGAGCCGACCTATTTTCATCACCTGCTCCCTCAACTCCCTCCTCGCCCTCCACTCGCCAGGAAAGAGGCTGTCGCATGTCTGCTTGTTTCTGATTGGCCATCAGACTCAGTTCTGTCACCTCATGTATCTGCTAGGGGTGGGTGGGAATGTGACAGTAAGGGAAGTAACATGGGGGGGATGAGATGGGTGTGATCTTGGTAAGGGATGGAAAGCAATTACGGTACACGCTCTGAGGCTGGATAGTAGGGTTGAAATTTGAAGCTAGCATTCTAGGGGTTTCTGAGATTGACTGCTGTATGATTCCTGGTCAGCTCACTCACAAAATATTATGTATGCACGCAGCTGTGGTTGAATCACTAAGCGGTGTGTGAAGAGGTGTGTGCGAGAGAGGGTTTGAGAGCAAGTCAGAACGCAGGTAGGGTGACCAGTTACATGTCACAAAGAGGCGACTATTAAGGGTTTTAAACCAAGAGCGTGTTAGAGCTGTTGAAAAGGTAGGGCGACCAGACTATCTACCTGTTGAAAAGGTAGGGCAACCAGACTATCTACCTGTTTTGCTGCAAACAATCTTCGGAGGTCCACTTGAGCTGGACGCGACCAGGCAGCATGCTCCCCGGGCTGCAGTTGCAGATGGGGCAGGGAGGGGGAGGCCGATGAGACAGGGAAGCAGATGAGACAGGGAAGCAGATGAGACAGGGAAGCAGATGAGACAGGGAAGCAGATGAGACAGGGAAGCAGATGAGACAGGGAAGCAGATGAGACAGGGAAGCAGATGAGACAGGGAAGCAGACACACATAAGGCAGTGAAGGAGGTGGGCTTTGGGTCTCCTGAAACCAGGAGGCCTTGCCGAGTTCGAGGGAGGTATTATTGAGAATGAAATCTTGGCGGAAAGGAGGAATACAAGGGCAGTACAATGGTGAGGGAGGTATGAGGGCGTGTGTAGAGTGTGAGTGGGGAGTGGAGTGCAAGTGGTGCAGTGCAATGCAGAGGAGAGGACGGTGAGATTTTGAGAGGATTGGAAGCGGTGCAGTACGGCAGGGCAGGATGGATGGAAGGCCGACTGGGGGGGGATTTGAGTGAGTAAAGGGCACTAGTGAGGCAGGGGTGTGAGAGAGGGAGGAGCGCGAGTGCGGACGAGGAGTGTGTGAGGGAAGAGATGTGAGTGAGGAGAGAATGAGTGAGAGGGAGTGAGTGTGGGACTCACTTGATACAGGTGAGCTAGTCTCAAGACAACCGTGCTTGGTGAGAGCTCCTGCACATGTGACAGTGGCACAAGCGCGTTTGAGATAAACGGAACAACTAGTAGCATTGCAGCACAGCACAGCACGGCATGGCACAGCACAGCATTCTGATGGAGCATACAACACAGCGTTCTCAAAGCTCCTCCACGTATGCTGGTGGTGAGAACATGGGGGTGCTGATGGATGAAGGATCAACTATAAGTGGTGTGGGAGGTTGAAGAAGGGAGGGCAGAGGAGTGATGGAGTGGAGTGGACGATTATTTGCTGAAGTGCCTAGATTATCGTTAGCGAAAGGTAGGTGAAGCGATAATAAATAGTGGAAGATTAATGTGTGCAGCACGAATGTTGACGCGTCTCAACAGTGTTAAGTACGGATGATACACAGTGATGTCGAGGCGCCTCTTACAACACAACACAGTGCTTGCCTGCATGCACGATGATTGTTACCTGCATCGTGATGACAGCAACATTGGGAGGAACCGAGTAGGATGAAGCACTGTTAGGCTTGCTGGATGACGTGGAGGATGCTGATGTGGATGATGGCTGGGAGAGGGAGTAGTGCCACGTGTAGCTGCCTTGTGCTGCCCTGATGGACTGCTGAGTCTGCAGGAGTCAGAGAAGAGATGGATGGAGAGAGGTTCGAGTGGATGGAAGGTTGACGGTGGAGCAAGATGGTTTGCAAGGGAAGCAGAGGAGCGCGAGAGGGAGCACATGGGAAGGGCAAGAATCATCAAGGAGAGGCAGAGGGTTGGCGGGAAGGAGGTCACTGAGTGAGAGATGGCGAGGGCTCACTTCAACGGCAAAGGCGAGCCGGAGAGGGGCTATGATGAGCCGCTGCGTGCATGTGCCGGGTGCATGTGCTGCGTGCATGTGCTGTGACATGCAATTGAAAACTTGCGAAGAGAAAGAGAGGGAGGAGCATGGAAAGGGCTCACTTCAACCGCAAACGAGAGCTGCAGAGGGGTTAGGAGGTGCTGTGCGTGCTGCCTCCTCCACTCGCTTCCCTGTCCCAACCCCACACGCTCTTCCCCTTGCTCCCCTTCATGCTCCCCTGCTCTTTCTTCAGAGCCTGTGTTAAGATGCAGCCCAAAGCGCAGCGAGCCCACAACCTGCCGGGCATGGGAGAGACAGTTGTTGGAGGGTGGGGGGAGATTGGTAGGGCTTAGCCCAAACGAGGTAAGGCAAGCTGAAGTGGGGCGATGAGCGGCCCCCTTGCTCCCCTTCGTTCGTGCTCCCCTGCTCTTTCGTCAGAGCCTGTTTCAAGATGCAGCCCAAAGCACAGAGAGCCCACAACCTGCCGGGCAGGAGACAGATGGTTGTTGCTGGGAGGGTGGAGGAGAGTCAGTTGTTCGAGGGTAAGAGAGATTGAAAGGGGATAGTCTGCACCAGGTAGGACAAGCTGAAATGGGCTGTGTAGGCAGCCCAAAGCGCAGGGAGCCCACAGCCTGCAGGACGGAGGAGAGAGAGAGAGAGATGGTTGTTGCATGTGTTTGCATCTTCCATTGTACCACCCCTTAATCAATGCAAGGACCATTCGAGATGGTTGTTGGAGGATGGGGGCGTTCTGAAGAGCTAACAGTGACGGCCAACTGAAGTGGGGCTATGCGCGGCTGTGTGCAGCGAGCCCACAACGTGCACGGCAGAGGAGGGAGCGATGGTTGCTGGAGGGTTCAAGAGGTGGAGAGTGCTCGCTTTAAACGTTCTCGGTGGTGCCCAGTGTGCAGTTTGAATGATTCTAAGCGCCAAGATTCTGGTAACTGCAGGGCAGGGGAGAGACGGTTGGTCGTACATGGTATTGGGCGGAGAAAGAGGGTGAAGTGGGCGAGGAGGAGGGGGGGATGTTGAGGAGTGGGTATCAGGCAGAAGCATTGGGAGATGGAGGGGAGGGAGGGGTGGAGGTTTGGAGGAAGGGTTGTGACTTGAATGGAAGGAAGGAAATATGGCAGGGGTGGGGCCACAGACGTACATGAGTAATGGGCCCTTGAAAGATTACAGAGAAATAACTGAAAGAAGCACTCACGGTGAGGGAGCGGGTCCTGTTGCCCGGTGTGAAGCTCTTTCGTAGTGGTTCCCCCACCCCCTTGAGTCGACTCACAGGAGGTGACTTGTGAATTTGAGTCGACTCACAGGAGGTGACTTGTGAATTTGAGTCGAGTCACAGGAGGTGACTTGTGAATTTGAGTCGACTCAGAAGTCACCGAAACACATGAGGCACTCACGGTGAGGGAGCGGGTCCTGTTTCCCAGTGCGATTCTCTCCTGCAGCGGTTCCCCCACGCCCTTGCCATCCAGCGAACTCAGCTTCCTGGTGGCATGTGAGTGGGGGAGGGGATGGGAGAGATGGGGGAAGATGGGTCACAAGGGTGTGACGAGTCACAAGGGTGTGACAGACGTGCTTTGCTCTCCTGCAGCAGTTCCCCCACGCCCTTGCCGTCCAGCGAACTCAGCTTCCTGGTGGCATGTGAGCGGGGGAGGGGATGGGGGTGTTGGTGGGGCACTGGGATCGTTCCCGGTTGAGTGTGGGAGGGCTACAGGTGCGGCCTGGGGGGTTATGGGTGTGCTACCCACCCTACAAACATGCCCTTTTAGCCCAGTCGGTAGCAGGCTGGGCGGGGGAAGATGTGGGGAGAGGCAGGGAGATGAGGAAAGATGGATGTCAAGGTTGGTAAGACAGTGATGGAAGAGTGTGTGATATATATATATATATATATATATATATATATGCATTTTGTTTTTGCAGCACATCAAACCAGGATTGGTGTAGCAGCTGTAACCAACACGCAACTTTCCATGAATACATGCATGCACCCCCTGTGCTACAGTACCATCACTGTGCTACAGTACCATCACTGTGCCACAGTACCATCATTCTGCTCAAACTACAGGTGGGAGCACAATACAGGGTTTACCCTAGGTGGGGTTGAGTGTCTGACCTTGGCCCAATCGTTTGGCCCCCAAAGGTTGGATTGGGAGATTACTGGAGACGCAATAATCTTGGCACACCCTTACAAAAAATATCGGCCCCCGCCATAATTTCCCAATCAACCTATTGGTGGGGGCCAATAATGTTGGCCAAAGTATCCTTTCCCCGCCCCTCCCCTCCTCCCCCCCTCCTCCCCGTTTTTCTCACCTGTGTATTTCTGTGATTCTCTAATAGAATAATCACTCTTCCATCATTCTTTTCTTTCTAACAGGCTTACCTATGCTACAGTACCCTTACTCGTGCTACAGCACCCTCACTCGTGCTACAGTACCCTCACTCGTGCTACAGTACCCTCACTCGTGCTACAGTACCCTCACTCGTGCTACAGCACCCTCACTCGTGCTACAGTACCCTCACTCGTGCTACAGTACCCTCACTCGTGCTACAGTACCCTCACTCGTGCTACAGTACCCTCACTCGTGCTACAGTACCCTCACTCGTGCTACAGTACCCTCACTCGTGCTACGGTACCCTCACTCGTGCTACAGTACCCTCTCCTGTGCTACAGAGATGCTACAGTGACCTCACCTGTGTAGCATGACCTCTATCTGGCCGGATGCCAGGCTGGCAGCGCCTGCCGCCCGGTCCACAAGCACGGACAACTGGGCTTCTTTGTCCTTTATGAAAGCCCCGACCGTAAGCTGGAGTGGAGTGGAGAGCAAGGGATGATGGAAGAAGGCAAATCAAGAGAAGGATGGGTGCACGACGGCTCGGAGGGGAAACAAAAAGAGAAGACTCTTGTTCCTATTGACTTGCCAATGCGATTGCGTCATTCATAGACAGGACCACTCCCAGGTGCACTGATTCTTGCCTTGAGTTGACTCTGGTTGACTCTGCTGCCTCTAGTTGACTGTGATTGACTGTCCTGACTCTGTTGACTTGCGTTGACTCACCGGGTAGTAGTTCCCTGCGATGGGGTCGGTGACATTGAGGTCCCAGTCAGACCGGTAGTCCACCACCTGAACATGCGATGGTGGGGTGGTGTGGTGGGGGTGGTGGGTGGTGAATGGAGACAGCATGGTGAAGGGAGAGGGTATGAATGGGGTTGGTGACATTGAGGTCCCAGTCAGACCGGTAGTCCACCACCTGAATGCGTGCGGGGTGGTGGGGATGATGGGATGAATTTGAAATCGACTCAAAAGTCAGAGCAGTAGTCTACCACCTGAACGCGGGGTGGTGGTGGTGGTGGTGGTGGTGGTGGTGGTGGTGGTGGTGGTGGTGGTGGTGGTGGTGGTGGTGGTGGTGGTGGTGGTGGTGGTGGTGGTGGTGGTGGTGGTGGTGGTGGTGGTGGTGGTGGTGGTGGTGGGGATGGTGGGGATGGTGGGGATGGTGAGGATGGTGGGATGGTGGGATGGTGGGGATGGTGGGGATGGTGGGGAAGGTGGGATGGTGGGGATGGTGGGGATGGTGGGGATGGTGGGGATGGTGGGGATGGTGGGGATGGTGGGATGGTGGGGATGGTGGGGATGGTGGGGATGGTGGGGATGGTGAGGATGGTGGGGATGGTGGAATGGTGTGTGGGATGCTGGGCTGATGTAGGTGGTATTTTGGGCACGTCCATAGGAGCATTTGCCACCTGGTGACTTTTGAGTCGACTCAAAAGTCACCTTATAGGCGGTATATTGGGCACGTCCATAGGAGCATTTGCCACTTGGCAATGGCATTTGTCTTGCTGCTGTGGATGGGAGCCGTGAAGGCAACACCCTCTACCCCGCTTGATGTGACTCCGCCACTTGAATCAGGGTGACCAGTGCTGCTGCTGTTGTCACGAGGAGGGAAGCGATCAACCACCCACCCCACTGTGTGAAAAGAGCTCCTCTTGTCAACAGTAGCCTGTCAGGATCCCAAATCTACAGCCTCTCTCACCCGCTTGATATAGCTTTGAGACATCTCAAAACATTACTTCATACACGTGGCGATCAACCACCCACCCCACTGCGTGAAAAGAGCTCCTCCTGTCAACGGTAGCCTGTCAGGAACCCAGATCTGCAACCTCTCTCACCCGCTTGTTGCAGCTCAGGCTATTGAAAGTCACTTTTGATTATCCACGAAAGTCATCCGCATGATGTAGCTCTGGCTGTTGGATTCAGAATAGCGGGTTGTGCTGCTGTCAATGGGAGCAGTGAAGCGTGTCGAGTTGCCAGGCAGCAGCAAGCAATGACCGTGTAGTGTACACTCATGCGAGCGCAACAAACACCCTCTCACCCGCTTGAGGTAGCTGCGGCCATTGGAGTCGGAGTAGAAGGCCTTGCTGCTGTTGATGGGCGCATTGAAGAGAGCTTCCAGGCGCCAACACGGACTGTGTGTGTACACAACAAACAACAAACAACGTCTCACCCGCTTGAGGTAGCTGCGGCCATTGGAGTCGGAGTAGAAGGCCTTGCTGCTGTTGATGGGCGCATTGAAGAGAGCTTCCAGGCGCCAACACGGACTGTGTGTGTACACAACAAACAACAAACAACGTCTCACCCGCTTGAGGTAGCTGCGGCCATTGGAGTCGGAGTAGAAGGCCTTGCTGCTGTTGATGGGCGACACGAAGCGAGTCACCACCTCGTGGTTGGGTTGCTTGGCGGGCAGCGGACCCACCTGGTCATCACACACACACGCACGCACGCACGCACACAGCAATGAACAGCACAGGCTGATGTGAACGAGCAGCGCATTCCTTTTCCATCGCGTGGAAATGGCTTCACAAGCACCTCTGGTCTGGTTGCCACCCCAGGGGGGCAGGGATCCATCTGGCCCAAGCAATGTCTTGTCAGACCACAGCCGGTTGGCCCAGGCAATGTCTTGTGAGACGACTGAAATGAAGAGTCGGTTCATGCGGATTCTGGAAACCAGGGTGTGCAAGAATCAGAGAGCACTCACGGAATAGTGCAGCTCAGCGTAGTCCCCCCCTGGATACACTCTGAAGACCTGGGAGTTGGGAGCGGTGCAGAGCGGCAGAGACGCAAGCAGCGGGAGGATGCAATGAGGCAGTGGAAGCACGTTGCAGTGGGTAGGGCGAGGTAACAAAAAGGGAATCCATTTATGCACCACTGCAGGAAGTTGCGGGTTTATGTTTCTGAAAAGTGCCCTGCATACTCAAGGAGGTGGAGGAGAAGGAGGTGAAGGAAGTGCACTCACCTCAGAGATCCATGGAGTGATCTGGCGGCTGAACTCCTCCACGATTGGTCCACGCTGGATGTGAATGGGCACCTGTGCCACGTCAGCAGAGCAGAACAAAAATCTCATGGAAATCAAAGGCCTGGTGCTGTAAAGCGGCTTCACTCCACCCACCCACCCACCCACCCACCCACCCATGCACGCACGCACCCACGAGAGCACCCACCCACCCCAGCCATCAAGAGCCATTCTACACTGAAGGCACAGTCAGCACCGGTGCAGCAGGAGAAGCATCACAAGCATGTCGCACTATGGTGCATCACGTACATGCCCATGCGCTGCGGTGCACACACCACCTCCTCTGACCTTTTCATTCTCAAGACACTGCCACTGGCGCCACCACTGCCCTGCGAGAGGCATGCTGCGTCATGGTGGTGGTTCTGAGTCGTGACCCACCCTCCCGCCCACTGACCTGGTGAGTGCTATTCGTGGTGGTGGTGACGGGCGTGGCTGGCTTGGTGGTGACGGGCGTGGCTGGCTTGGTGGGCTGGAAGATGTCGCTCTTGAGAATTCTCAAAAGCGACTCAGATGTATGCACCTGCTGTGACTTGAACGACTCAAGGCACTGGTTCTACCAGTGGAGACTCAAGGCACTGGTTCTACCAGTGGAGACTCAAGGCACTGGTTCTATCAGTGGAGTGTGAGAGCCATGCTGCGTGCACCTTGGCGCTTGTTGTGACCCACACGTCCACTGACTGACCTGGTAGGTGGCGTTGGTGGAGGTGATGGGCATGGCTGGCTTGGAGGGTTGGAAGATGTATGCGCCGCCGGCGAATGTGGCATACTCCATCATGCTGGCACTCACTGCCATGCCCATGCGCTGCCGTGGCATGGGGTGGGGTGGAGTGGATGAGGTGGTACGATGTATGCACCTCAAGCTAAGGTGGCATACTCCATCATGCTGGCACTCACTGCCATGCCCATGCGCTGTGCCATGGCGCGGCATGGGGGGGCGTGGGATGGGATGATGTGGTGGGGTGAGGGGGTGCGTGCCATGGTATGCAGGGAGCAGAGCAGATGACATGACAGGGCATGTAACAGGAGTGCACAACGAGAAATTACATCCATTTGAGGATGGTACAAGTGCAGTGCCTACCAAGTGCCATTGTCGGCTGGACTGGAAAGTACAGTGTTTTCGCTTCACTATGTGAGTACGCTATGCTTTAGTTGCAAAGAAAGTAGAAAGAAGGATTGACACGATCCACTGTGTCAAGTCAATATGCTCTTCAACTGCAACAGCTTGCAGGAGGTTACCCATTCTATCCTTTCTAATCTCGCTTTCCCAGCCAGTAACAAATCATCCCAGCCAGTAACAAATCATCCCAGCCAGTAACAAATCATCCCAGCCAGTAACAAATCATCCCAGCCAGTAACAAATCATCCCAGCCAGTAACAAATCATCCCTGCCCATGTAATCCTTTCCCATGTCATCCCTGCCCATGTCATCCCTGCCCATGTCATCCCTGCCCATGTCATCCCTGCCCATGTCATCCCTGCCCATGTCATCCCTGCTCATGCCGCCAGCCAACCCTTTTCCCTCACTCAACACCCATCGCTAATTGCCCGCCATAGTCACATCACCACCCACCACTTACTTACTCCACTGCCACACCACAATCTCCCCCGTGCCACACCACTCACCACAACCTCCTCCGTGCCATTGGCACTCCGAGAGACCAGCTCCATCCGCTGCATGCCCACCGCTGACTTGGAGAACGAGACACGCAACGCAGCCCGCTCCCCACCGTCCGTGCCAGCACCAGCAGCACCGCTACCACGAGTGGCCCCCACGCCTTGCCACCCTCCCAGCACAACAGTATCACCCCCTTCCAGCCCCCTCCCTCCCCCTCCCCCTCCCTCTCCTCCTCCCCCACCCATCTTGCCCTCCTCCATTCCCCCACCACCGCCATGCAACCCCCTCCTGCTTCCTCTCCCCCTGCTCCCCGCCTCTCTCCCTCTCCTCTCCCCACCGTTCAACCCTCCCTCCTGTCCACCGCGCACCGCCATCCTCCGCCCTCTCGTGTTCCTCCCCCTCCCCGCCTTGCCGGGTTGCTTCTCGGCTGCCCCTGCCTGGGCCGCTGCAGCTTCCGTCTCAGCTGATGCCTTTTCAGATGCTGATGATGCTGCTGCTGCTGTCGCAGGCAGCGGTGCTGCCACAGGCTGTGCTGCTGCTGCTGCCGCTGCCGTTGTTGCTGTAGCGTCAACCACACTGCTCCATGCAGCACTCTCGTACGCTCTGCCAGGTGTGTCTGCACGTGGGGAAGGCGTGGAATTGTGAGAGGCAGGTGAGCAAGGGAGCAGAGTGGTTTGCAGGGGTGCTGTGGTGTGACAGGAAGCACACACGTAGCATGCTCTGCTTGCTCTCTGTGCATGTGCTTGTCTGCATGGAACATACCTTGGCAAACCGTCCTTTCCAGTGAGCTCTTTCCTTGGAACATACCTTAGCGAGCTGTATACCACAGCTTCTGTACTTTGACAAGCTTCAGATTTGCTGCTCTTCCGCCATGAGTAGCAAACCCGAGTGACGATTTTTCGAGATGGGCTAGACAGCGTACCTGACTGATGATAGGTGCTGTACCTTGGGTTGCTGGCGAGACAAAGAAGGTGGCGAATCCAAGAGGAGGCACCTCTGCATAAAACACAAGCGACAGCACTGCCTGCTGCTGCTGCTGCTGCTGCTGCTGCTGCTGCTGCTGCTCTCCCTCCTGCTCTCCCTCCCGCTGCTCCCCCTCCTTCTGCTCTCCCTCCTTCTGCTCTCCCTCCTTCTGCTCTCCCTCCTTCTGCTCTCCCCCCGTCTCCTCCTTCGTCTGCCTCTCCCGATGCTTCCTTTTCGGCTTATGGCTCGGCTGCGGCCCTCGCCCATCCCCATAATCCACCCACTCCTCCTCCTCCTCCCCCTCCCCGCCCTCCTCCTCATCCCCCTCCTCCCCCTCCTCCGCTCCCTCCTCCCCTCCTTCCCCCCCCTCCACCCCTTCCTCCTCCCCCTCCACCTCTCCTACTATTTCCCCCACGCCAGTGTAAGCAGCAATGTAGGTGGAGCGGGTGGCGGGGGTGACGAGCGTCTCCCTGATTATTTGAGAGGGGATGGGGGCGCCAGAGGCGTCGGCGACTAGCAGATTGGGGGATGACACCTGTCAGGGAGAGCATTGGGAGAGGGGGAGAGGGGAGAGGAAGAGAAGGGAGGGGGTGGAAGGGAAAGCGTAAGCCCTGATGTGGTTGGAGTGGAGCAGGTGGAGGGGGAGAGGAGGGTCTCTTGGAGTATTTGAGAAGGGATGGCGGCGCCAGAAGCGTCGGTAACAAGGAGATGGGGGGATGACACCTGTCAGGGAGAGCAGTGGGAGAGGCGGAGAGACGGGGGGAACAGAGGGAGGGGAGAGGAGGGTCTCTTGAAGTTTTTGAGAGGGGATGGGGGCGCCAGAGGCATCAGTGACTAGAAGGTAGGGGGATGACACCTGTCAAGGAGCGTAGTGGGAAGGGGAGAGAGAGAGGGAGGAGCAGAGGAGGGAAGGGATGGAAAGGGCGTAAGACATGATGTGGTTGGAGTGGAGTGAATGTAAAAAGGGAGGAGAGTGATTGTTGAGAAATTTGAGAGGGGATGGGGGCATGAGAGGCAGCAGTGAGGAGTAAGCTGGGGAAAGATACCTATCAAGGAGTGAGAACAGAGGGAGGGGGGTGTTGTGTGGGGAGGGAGAGTGTGTGAAACCTCTGCGTTGTAAGGGAGAGGAGGGCAACAAATCGTTCACTTGTTAATGCTGTCGACCTCTGGTGCCGGTGCCCATGCAGGTGCCCATGCAGTTGCTGATGCAATTGCTGATGCTTAATGCCAATGCAAGGCAAGATGGATGAAGCAAGTAACAGCATTGAAGGGTGCGCGGTGCACTCATACCGGGAATCGAATCACTTCAGAGCGGGACCACGCGAGAGGGTTGAAGGCCACCACCACCTGTGGGATGGGTATGGATGGATGGGAAAGGTGGAGACGTGTGGGCCAATATGATACAGATGAGGTGCTTTTGAGGCACCTCATAAGAGGGTTGAAGGCCACCACCACCTGTGGGATGGCCCGATGGGTATGGATGGATGAGAAAGGTGGAGACGTGTGGGCCGATATGATATGGATGAGGTGCCTTGGGAATTCCCAATGGTACCTTGGGAGTTCTCAAAGGTGCCTTGGGAATTCTCAAAGGTGCCTTGGGAGTTCTCAAAGGTGCCTTGGGAATTCTCAAAGGTGCCCGGGTATAAGGATATGGGTGGGAGGGAGGAAGCATGGAGACAAGCGGTGCGTATGGAACTGAAAGAGAGAGATGGAGAGGGAGGTGGGTGAGAAGTTAGATGGAGGTGAGAGTAGGGATGGATGTGAGAGGTGAGTGAGAAAGTAGCAAGGAAGGCAAGCAAAGGAGATGCGGAAACGGGCAGTTGGGAAATGGGCAGTGAAACAGAGGGAAGCAAGGATGCACAGGTCAGTGGGTTTTGAGTTGACTGACTGCATGAGGGAATGCTTCACGGCGCTTTATGGGATGGTGTGTGTGTGGCATGGCATGTGAAACAGCACAGCACGCAGGGTACGTACCAGGGTCTGATCTGGCTGCAGGGGTGTTTCGGTTGGAGGGCAATAGGAGATGTTGAGCAGAGGGCACTGTGAAGAGGGGGGAAGGAAGGGAGGGTGGGGAGTGGAATTCAGGGATGAGAGGGGGTGATAGAGGGAGGAGGGATGAGAGGATGACAGGCAAGATGGAAGCGGCATAGAGGTTAGGAGCATAGCGGTCACAAATGGTTGGAGCACAACAATTTGTGATGCTCAGACGTCGTGGGAGCAGTTGAAAGAGCAGCTGGTCTGGTTGGTACAGTCTGTCAACCTGATCTGATCCAATCCAATTGCCCCTTTGGTTTTACAACGTCTAATTTTGAGACGTCTCAAAACCTGTCAATTTCATTGAATCCAACCAATCGCCCCTTTGACCATCGTGGCGTAGCAAAAAGAAACATCCAGGGAATCAGTCACCTCGTTGACCAGCTCCTGTTTCGCACTTCTACAATCATCAACATCACACCACCATCAACTCACACCACCATCCATCACACCACAATCACACCACCATCAAACCACCACCACATCACACCGCCACCATCAACACCATCACACACCATTTTCAGGTTCAGTGAAGGAAGCTGCTGTCCCCCCTGCTCTGCTTTGGCACCGTCGCCCAGCGTCACCCCCCTCCTTCTCCGCCCCCTGCTCACTTGCCCCTCCTCCACCTCCTGCACCCTCCTCTCCTCAGCCCGTGTGCCGTCAGCAGCACGGCCAGCAGCACCATTCTGGACCGCTTGAGGGTCAGCTGGCTGCAACGACTGAGGGTCAAACACCTCATTGGGGTCGCTTGTTCTCTCCTCCTCCTCCTCCTCCTTGTCAGGAACCCTCTTTTCCACACGGGAATTTTTCTGAGTCGACTCAAATATTGCCTCCTCCGTCACGTGAGGGACTTTCTTCTTTGCACGGGACCTTGCAGCATGCTTCCCACCATCTCCCTCGCCCGCCTCCTCATCCCCCTCATCTTCGTCATCCGCCGCACCTGCTCTATCCGCCTCATACAATAACTCATTCATCCTGTCGATTTTGTTGCGTGCCTTACCCTCTTCGTCCCCCTCATCTTCCTCATCCTCCTCGTCCCCCTCCTCCGCCCCATCTGCTAACTGGTTCCAGAACCCCCACCCGCGCTGCTCGACACTGTCCTCCCTAAATGTGAACTCCACGGCTGCTGCTGCCCGTGAGGACAGGTTGGAGGAGAGGTTGGATGGAGGTACGGATGGGGATGGGGGGAGGGTCCCTCGCGTGATGAGGTGCGCCAGTGCTGCTGTCAGCACGGCTGATGCCTGCATGGGCGGTTGGTAGGGTGGGGCATGGGAGGTTGGGAGATGGGAGGGGAAGTTGGCAGGAGGGGGTAGGGTACGGATGGGGATGGTGGGGTGTGTGAAGTGCCTGGAGAGGGGGGATGGTGCCTCGCATGATGAGGTGTCAGCACGGCTGATTCCTGTATGGGCGGTGGGAGGGATAGGTGGGGAAGATGGGGATGGTGAGGTGAGGTGTGTGGAGTGAGGTGACTTTTGAGTCGACTCAAAAGTCACCGAGGTGTGTGGAGTGTCTGGGGAGGGGCGGGGGGTGCCTCGCGTGATGAGGTGCATGAGGGCTGCTGTGAGCACAGCTGGTGGATGCCTGGGTCGGCGGTCGGCGGTGGGTGGTATGGGGAATGGGGGCCCGTGAGGTTGGGAGGCTAGCACCAGCCTGAACCCATTTAAAGGAGCAGTCTATGGTAATACCATGCATGTCGCACCCAACCCAACCCAACCCAAACCAAACCAACCCATACGTGTATGTACGCAGCACCCAACCTCGGCAGTGCAGTGCAATACAGCCGTTCAGAGCAGTCGTCAGTAACATGCTGCTGTGCTGTGCCTGTGATGCGGTGTTGCACGCATGGGAGCTCACACATGCACGCATAGGAGCTCACACATGCACGCAGCACCTAATACCATCCGTCGCCATCCACACCACAGCTCACCTCCAGCGCAGCGCGGTGAAGTCTAGCAGAGTAATCATCAGTAACGTACCGCTGTGCCGTGCCTGTAATGCCGTCGTGGTGCTGCCCCACTGCCACCGCCGCCTACAGCCGGAACGAGCTCAACCCTAACCCCGACCAGCCCTAGCTGTAGCAAGCCAGTCATCAGGCACGCACTCACCTCCTCTGAAGCGCGGTGAAGTCTGGAAGAGTAATCATCAGTAACGTGCTGCTGGGCCGCGCCCGTGATGCCATCATGGAGCTGCACCACTGCCACCGCCTCCTCCAGTCCATTCGCCTTGCACTGAGGGGACTAACCTCTACCCATGCACTCATCCCTCACCTCCTCAGCAATGCGGTGCAGCAGAGCAGAGTAGTCATCGGTAACATGCTGCTGCGCCGTGCCTGTGATCCCATCATGGTGCTGCACCACCGCCACCGCCTCCTCTAGCCCATGCTATACACTCACAGGAGCAGTCTCTACCCGTGCACTGAAGGGATCAACCTCTATCCGTGCAACCCTCACCTCCTCAGAAGCGCGGTGCAGCCTGTCAGAGTAGTCATCGGTAACATGCTGCTGCGCCGTGCCTGTGATGCCATCATGGTGCTACACCACTGCCACCGCCTCCTCCAACCGGAACGAGCTCGCCACTCGCACCCGCCGCTCGCCCTCCCACCCCACCCTCATCCGCTCCACCCCTCCCGCACTCTCCCCCCCATCCGCCTGCTTCTCCTCCTTCTGGCTGTCTCTGGTCGTCTTGCCCATGTGTGTGTCGAGCACAAGGTGCTCCAGTACCATCATGCGCCCCGTCGCCATGCCCCATGCCTGTAGCGCTTCCTTCCCCACTGCTGCCTCTGCTGCTGTGGTGGCCTGAAGGACGAGAGAGCAGGACAGGCACACATGTGATGCTGTTGGGGTAAGCAAGACAGCTTCAGCCCACTTCTTGTCCTTGAAAGGAAGCAATGGCAAGTGTGCTTTTCAAGGGCGCGCCAAGTGACGTGAGCCAGATGGGTTCAGGCATCCGTAGCTTCCAGCACTGATGCCAACCAACCAACCAGTCCCCTGCATGTAGGCCAGGTGAGCAGCATCGACCGACGGGTTGCGTGAAACATGGGTGAGTGAGGAAAACGTGATTGATGTGACTGTTGAGTTGACTCAAATGGTTGAAACAACAGGCCAGAGTGAAAGATGGGAGGGTGCGGCAGGTCTGGATGATGTGACTGTAGGGAGGGAAACAATTAATAGGTGAATTCTCTTCTCGCGTCACATCATAATCACATCACAACACAGCATATCGCATCATACCATACAACATCCCATCCCATCCCATAGCATCACACAGAAACAGGCAGCTGAAATAAGCAGCGCGCTAGCAGCAGCGAGCTGCAGGAGCGCACGAGGAGCTTCAGGGAGTAAGACCCAATGTGACATCCCATCCCATCCCAACCCATCCCATCCCATCCCATCCCATCCCATCCCATCCCATCCCATCCCATCCCATCCCATCCCATCCCATCCCATCCCATCCCATCCCATCCCATCCCATCCCATCCCATCCCATCCCATCCCACCCCAGCCCATCCCAGCCCATCCCATCCCATCCCATCACACCACACCACACCACACCACATCAAATGAGCAGGTTGAGAGGGCAGCGCACCAGCAGCAGGGCGCTGCAGGAGCGCGCGAGGAGCTTCAGAGAGGGGCGGCTGCTGAAGTAGCCGGACCAGTAGGGCCCGTCGTCCTGGTAGCTGGGGCGAGGAGCGCATGGACGGAGAAGAGGGAGGGGTTGGGGGACGGGGGAAAATATGCGGAGAAGGGTCCTCATGTGAAGTAGCCGGACCAGTAGGGCCCGTCGTCCTGGTAGCTGGGGCGAGGGGCGCATGGGCGGAGGGGAGGGAGAGGGTGGGCGGAAGGGAGGGAGGGGAATGGGGACGAGGGGGGAACGCGAGAACATATGCGGACAATGGTTTCTCCTCTGAAGTAGCCCGAACAGTAGGGCCCATCGTCCTGATAGCTGGGGCGAGGGGCACATGCATGGGGTGAGGGGTGAGGCAAGGGGGGAGGGGAGCGGGAAGGGGGGAGACTGGGGGGAGGGTATGTGAGAACTCTATGCAGAGAATAGGTTCCCTTGTGCCATGGCCCAGCCTGTCCAGTGGGCGTGATGTGCCGTCCAGTGGAGCGTGCTGTGGCGGCCAGTGGAGCGTGCTGTGCCGCCTAGTGGGGCGTGCTGTGCCGCCCAGTGGGGCGTGCTGTGCCGCCCAGCGGGGTGTGCTATGCCGCCCAGCGGGGTGTGCTGTGCCGTGCTATGCCGCCCAGCGGGGTGTGCTGTGCCGCCCAGCGGGGTGTGCTGTGCCGCCCGGTGGGGCGTGCTGAGCCGTCCTCCCCATGGCTGGGGTGAGAGACTCTTGGGCATGGAAAAGCAGAGATTGGGAGGGAGAAGGGGAAGGGGAATGGGTGAGCGATAGGGGGGCATGATGGGTGAGAGAGATGTATATTCTTTTTAAGAACATATATAGATGAATGCAGTGTGGTGAGTGCGTGTGGGCGCGGATGGGTGCAGGTGGGTGGGGATGGCTAGTTGCAGGGGTAACCAAACCGTTGCCTGCCTGCTGACTCACGGGAACATGTCACCAGTCTTGAGAGGCCACGTGGCATTGGCAGAGTGGAGTGCGTCCAGATACATGGATGGCGTGGAATAGAGCGCGTTCACCCTCCCGTCCTGTAACACAGGTACAGAGTTAAAATGGGTAAAATCTCATCCCAAGGTGCAAAAAATTGGTTTCTTATGAGATGGCATGGCATGTCACGCCATCCCACCCCATGCCATGCCAAGCCAAGCAACCAGCAGCGACCCAACCCAATCATCCAGCATCCATCAGCCCACTTCGCACCCAGCGAGCAACTGACCAGGTTGACTTGGTGAATGAGCTTAAACCACGAGATGGCATGCCACGCCATGCCATCCCAAGCCATGCCTAACACACAGCGACCCAACAGCGACTGACCAGGTTGACATAATGAATGAGCTTGTCCATGTTCTTGAACCACGAGATAGCATGCAATCCCATCCCATCCCATCGCATGATGTGTCATGTCAAGCCATGCCATGCCATACCACACCAACCACCCAGCGAGCGACCGACCAGGTTGACGTAGTGAATGAGCTTGTCCATGTTCTTGAACCACAAGATGGCGCGGTCAAACGCAAAGTCCTCGCCCATGGGGAACAGCAGGTGATTCGTCTTAAAGCCCTCCGCCTGTTAGTTAGTGTGAGAGAGAGTAAGGTGTAGAAGAAGCAGCAAGGGAGTTAGTGAGTGAGTGAGTGAATGAGTGGGTGAGTGAGTGAGTGAGGGCTTGGTTCAAGGTAAAGTCCTCGCCCATGGGAAGCAGCAGGTGATTCGCCTTGAAGCCCTCTGCTTCCTCGGGAGAGTGTGTGGGAGAGAGTGAGCCTCACTCACTCGGTGAGGTGCAGAGGATGCAATGGGTGAAGGGTGGCTGGTTCAACGCAAAGTCCTTGCTCATAGGGAACAGCATATCTTAAACCCGTGAGGCCCCTTGGGGGGTGAGTGAGATGAGAACCGTGGAGAGCAACGGTTAAGGCAGTGAGAGGAAGAAAGGGTTTTGAGATAGAGGGGTTGGCGGGTGGAAAGACGCTGTGGATGGTACAGAGGAGGGCCAATCACGCACACCAGGGAACTTAGAAGACTTGAAGGCCCCATGCAAGTACCAAGAAACGTGAAAAAAACTTAGGCGACTAACATTGCGCGCTCAATCAGTCACGTCACCCATATTTCAAACCATGAGCACTTCAGCATGATTAACACGAACATCTACTGTGCAAGTGCGCTTGAAACACAGTCCAAGCGCCACACCACTCACTCTCGGTGTCAAAATTTTCAAGACGTCTCAAAGCACACTCCAAGCGCCACTCACTCACCCACTCTCGGTGTTACTTCTGCAACAAACTCTTCTGCGAGGCGCTGCACGTTCGTTTTTATGTCAACTATAAAAACATGTACTGGGCAAGAACCACTTGAAGGCCCAAGAGCCACTCACTCACCCTCTTGGTCACTTCCGCTACGAACTCGTCCACCAGGCGCTGCACGTTGGGCGAACCCCCATAGGGATTGTCCTGACCAGTGGACGAGGGCAGAGGGACGATGGTAGAGCAGATCGAGCAATGGAAGAGCAGAGGGTGTGGGGAAGCTGTGGTGGTGCGACAAGGCAGGAAAGGGGGAGTTACTCTTGCAGAGTGAAATGGGGTTGTCAGGAGTAAGGGGGTTCAGTGCGCACACGACCAGGGATCCACACAAGTGATCAGCCGAAACACTGAGTGGTGCAAGGCATGGTGCTGACAGGCATGGTGGAAGGCATGGTGGAAGGCATGGTGAGACGTCTCAAAAACACTCCTTTATCACGCGCCTACAGGAGAGGTGCACACATGAAGCTTGCTGTGCAGCAGAGAGGCAAGTGCAGAGCAGCAGAGGGGCAAGTGCGTTGCAGCAGAGGGGCAAGTGCGTTGCAGCAGAGGGGCAAGTGCGTTGCAGCAGAGGGGCAAGTGCGTTGCAGCAGAGGGGCAAGTGCGTTGCAGCAGAGGGGCGAGTGCAGAGCAGCAGAGAGAGCGAGGGAGTACCTGAATGCGGTAAGAAGGATCGTCTGAGTCCTGGTAGCGGAACTGTGAGGGCGAGTAGTAACCATCATAGGATACCATTCCCAGCACCTGGGAGAGGGTTGGAGAGGGGTGGAGAGAGTGGGGTGGCGAGGGGAATGGCTGGTAGGATCGTCTGTTTCCTGGTATGGGCAAGTAGTAACCGAATACCATTCCAAGGTTGACGATGAAGGTTTTTTTAAATCGAGATCGCCGCGCTCGCGAACGTCAAAAAAGCCACCTTGATTGCTGGGCGCATGACATCCGATGGTGCTCGTGACATCCAAAGTCTTTGACGCGAATTTGACTTCATCTGCCGCTGGCAGAGTTGACTCACAGTGCTATCTGCTAGTTTTGAATTAAAATGTAAGAAGAGGATAAGAACTCGCTTTGCTACATGCAATCTAGCGGATCAGGTGCATTGCATTTGACAAGAGGAGAGAAGATGGTGACCTTGGTACGACCAATCTAACCGAAGCACACTCAATGCACGAGCACCACCAGATCCTATCTTCACCATCACCCGTACAACGCACGCAATATTCGCTCCACAACAGCACACCCTACATCTCAACAGCATGACATGTGGCCCACCTGGTTGCCTCGAACGAACCTTCGTATTGTCTGTCGTAGACAATACCACATGTGGCCCCAGTTCGTGTATTAGAGAAATACAGCTGCCTGCCTGTCTGGCACACGAACTGTGATGTCCTGGCGGACATGTGAGCCTGCTTCTCCTATTCAATCCCCAGCAGCACACCCTACCATTCAATCAGCCTCCTCACATATCACACACAACTGGTTGTCTCTCTGTGACGCCCCTTCAGCACGCCGCACAAACTCCATTCCATTGTTTTGGTGGCCAAACGAGTCTGCTTTTCCAATAGAATCCACCGTAACACACCCTACCATACAGCAGCAGCACACCCTAGCACACACCTGGTTTTCTCTCTGCGTCGCCCCGTCTGCCCGCCACACAAACTCCATTGTTTTGGCGGCCAAACGAGACTCCTTTTCCTGCTGGTCCACCCTCCCCATGAACACGGCTTCCAACCCCGCCTGGTGGGCACGTGTGTGGGAGGTGGGGGAGGAAAAGGGATGGGGGGTCGGGGGTGGGAGTGGATGGTCAACCGAGTCTCCCTCTCCTGTTGGTCCTCCCTCCCCATGGACACCGCTTGTAGCCCCGTCTGGTGGAGAGATGCTTGTGGGAGAAGGGTGGGGGAAAGGGGAAGGTGGGAAGAGAGGGGTGGTGGTGATTTCGTGGAGAGGAAGGGATGGGGAATGGGAAAGGGGGCAGGGGTTGGAATTCGCAGGCGGCCATGTGAGCGTCCTTTGCCTGCTGGTCCACCCTCCCCATGAACACTGCGCCTGGTGGACATGCATGTGGGGAGGGGTGGGGGGGGACTAAGTGGGGGGGAGGTGGGGGGGAAGGGAAATGAAGGAGGGGAAGGACCACCTGCCCAGGCCGCACCTGAGCAGTGATGAGGCTGGCTTGAGTAGCAGAGTGGCCGAAGGGGTCGATCTGCCAGGCGATGCGCGGGGTGACGTTGAATGTCGCCATGAGGAAGCGGTGCCCCATGGCCATCTGATGCACCATGTCCGTGTAATGTGCACACGCCTCGTCATGCATCACCCACCCGCCGTTGCTGCACAGCATAGCACATGGAAGAAACATAGAAGATATGTGTATGAGAGAAGAAGGGGAAGGAAAGGAGGGGGAGGGAGGGGGAAGTGGGGGGAAGGGTAGACACGGGAGTGGGGGTTGTAGGAGGGGGAGGAGGGGGGGATGACATGTCAAATGAGGGTTCTTCAACATCCCGCCATGGGGGTGTGCAGCATGCCCAGTACTCCTGTCATGCATGACCTACACGCCATGCTCTGGAGGTGAGGGAAAACTTGAATTCAGCGAATGCATGCATGCTACGGTAATGAAAACTTGAAAAAGCATGGGTGATGCTACTAGATTCGTATCCCTCCTGTCACATGTCAGAATGCGATGTTGTCAGTGAATCCCGGTCTACATCAAGGCATGGGCTGACTCACATGAACTCCAATCGGCCAGAAGCCACCAGCTTCCGTACTTTATCCCGCATTGGTTCGTGCTGGCGTTCCCACCAACGATAGAAAAAACCCTGCAGAAATACAGATAAGTGGTGCGACTTGTAATATGCTTCCACTTAGGATTTAGCAGTAGAGGTACGGAGCACTTGGTACTACCGTGCAAACGTAAGGCCACATTGAACCTATTACTAGGTCCAGACGATGCTCTCACCTGCTCGACTTGAATGAATCTACGGTCAGGATTGTCTGAAAGCTGGTCAACGACGGTCTCAATGATGTACTGTACCGGGTCGACCTGCAGTGATGTACGACGAAACAGAAACAGGGTGCGGATGAAGGTTAGCATTTGTCAGACTTTCGTCATCTCCGCTTGTCAGCGTGAACTGACTACACGGACCCACGTCATACAAACCACGCCCATGATTTCACGTCACGAACTTAATATGCGGCTCTCCGAACTTCAAAGACCGATGTTCCGCCAAACACAGAAGCCCCTTATCGAATTCCCTACGGAAGCGCAGCCCGGCTGGGAGGCCTTGAAGATCCATTTGAAATCTATTTCCAACATTTTCGGGGAACAATGCTGTAGCAGTGAGGACAGCGGACGAGTTCAAGCTGCAGTGAGGACTCCTGACAGAGAGTAACGCAGAATTCGATCCGATTCTTCAATCTCTCAATCTCTGGCATTTTTCGTAGTCCGTACTCACGTAATACTGATCAATGGTTTTCAGCCAACCGAGATCGTCGTGCGAGTGAGCCACCAAGTGTACGTTCAGCTTTCCGTCCACTAATACAGCGCTCGTGTTGTAACGAAACGGTACGATCTCCTCAAACGAGGTTAGAGATTCACTGCGAACCGGCGCGATCGGCGTATGTTCGTTCTGAACCGTTGCTGTTTCTACCCTGTCAAATGATATCGGAATGCGTGGTGACAGTGACTGCTGCAGCATCAGCAAAGTGAAGCCCGTCAAGACGCCTATAACGAACGGCGGCACGAGCACTGCGGCTCGATTCCATGAAGCCATCGCCGCCGCGTTCATTTTTAGTTCCACTGTAAGGAAAATCAGAGAAAGCTAGAAGCTATTGAAGATTCAATGGAAGGAGAACACTAACTCCGCAATGCCGTGAGTAGCTCGGTTATGAGGGTAGCCGCATCATTGCGATCTAACTGAAACATTCTTGGTAATGGTGCTCATTCCGCTACATGTCTGAAAGTTCAGCTCGGACTGGTGAGTAGTGAGAAATGGAAGTCCGAGTGAGAATACCGCTTCAGAGTGCATGGTATTGTACTGAACCGCTTTCGATGAGCAAAATGTGAATTCTTGGTCTGGTGCTCACTTGCTTCGCTGTACGGCAGCATTTGGTGGAGTGGGGGGGTGGATTCTGGATAAACCGTTGCATATTGTTTCCTGGTGCTCTGACGGAGTTGACGTTGAGATTGGGCCGAGGCTTAGGTACCGTATTTAACACTTCTGTAACGTAGAAATTGACCTGAAAAACGTTTTGGACCAAGGGATGTCGCGCGCTGAGTTCCTGGCTGGACGTTGGGACTGCCACCAATCAAGTCGCTCACTGCTTCGCTATTGTCGGCGCGGCGAAGGCTACATATGGCTATTTGAAGTCAGTTTCTAGGCATCTCATAAATCAGGACGCGGTACAGTTCGGTCTATCAGGGCTGACACGTGTTTTTGTAAAGACATAAGGGTAACAAGTGGTTCAAATTTTCAAACCTTCAACTCTTCCCAGCCAAAGATCGCAATGTCAGAACGGCTGACGTCAGTAACCATACAGGTGTCACGTTGAAAACCAGCAGATCCTGACCAGGGCAAATTTTATTAGTGTAAATCTCTCTGATACCCTGATTATCAGGGTGGTTTTTGGTAGTCACATTGATGGCCTAGGGTAAATTTTTTCGGGAGCTAGAATTTTCCTGATATGCCAGGGTTTACAAGGCACACTGATTGTGAAGAAGTGAACGTGAATGAACTATGAGTGAAGTGGGTACAAGTACTAACCCTAATTGGGTTGTACCCCCTATGGGATACCCCACTATAGCCTACACAAAAGCATAAGCTATAATGTTCTGACACACCCCCATAGGCAAAGTGGGGAGAACAAGGGGTCACAAGACCAGTCAAGCAAAGCAAAGCAAAGCAAGCTCAGGGTGGATCACAACGTCACCACACAGTCAAGGCCACAAGGCCACTTCACATGCAGGAGGAGACATATATATATATATATATATCTATATATATAGGTCTAAACAAGCAAGAGCAAGTATACATATATATATATGCAAGAGTACAAGTAAGGTCAGGAGGTGAGCAAGTGAGGCAAGACTGGGACAAGTCCCAGCTGAGTGCAGAAACGCTGATGATCACAAGGCGGAAGTGCCTTGGTGAAAACATCAGCAGTGTTGGCCTCAGAGACCACGTACGCAAGTCGCAACTGACCACGCTGCTGCAGCTCACGAGCAAGAAAGTAGCGGAGAGCAATGTGCTTCGTTCTGTGCTCCAGGCGCTGCTCTCGACACAAGGCCAGCATGGCCTTGTTGTCTACGTACAGCACTGGAAGAGAACGAGGCGGCTCTCCAAGGTCAGTCAGCAGGTAGGTGAGCCAGCGAAGCTCCTGAGCAGCCATGGCCCCGGCGTAGATCTCAGCCTCACAACTGGAGCCGAGAACAGAAGACGAGCGAGTAGCCCGCCACGAAACAGAGCCGGAACCAAGACTGAAGGTGTAACCCTGCGACGACCGCTGCGTAGCCTGGTCGTCAGCCCAAGAAGCGTCCGCGTGCCCAGTGAGGACCACTGGACTCCGCCCTCCAAGCACTAGCCACATGCCCGACGTACTGCACAAGTAGCGTAACACCCTCTTCGCTGCAGCCATGTGCTCTGGTCGGTGTCTCCCAGGAGCAACATAGCGTACCAAGATGCTAAGAGGGTATGCAAGGTCAGGTCGAGTGCAGGTCATCAGGTACATGAGGTAGCCAACAAGCTCTGGGTACGGGCCACTCGACTCTACGGACTCATCCGAAGGCAGAGTTGAGAGCGAGTGGCGAGTAGACAGAGGAGTGGCCTGAGGCGAGGAGTACGTGAAGCCGAAGCGCTGAAGGACCTGCTGCACCATGTGTGACTGAGTCAAGGTAATGGTGCGGCGTGCTCTGTCCCGAGTGATCTGCAAGCCAAGGTAGCTGCGCAGTTCACCCAGGTCTGTGCACGTGTGTCTCTTCTGCAGCTCGGACTTCACGTAGGCGAGTCCAGCAGTGTCCGCTGTGGCAAAGACCAAGTCGTCGACGTACACGAGGATGTAGAACGGCGGCAGAGAAGTGTCGGTGCGCAAAAACAACGACGGGTCAGCAGTAGAGGGAGCAAACCCAAGAGCCGCAAGCGTAGTCCTCAGTGTGTCGTGCCACTCATGCGGTGCCTGGCGGAGACCGTAGACTGGCCGTCGGAGGCTCCACTGGGTGCCAGGAGGGAAAGTCCCAGTGAAGCCAGGTGGACGGCGCAGCCAGATCTCCTCGTGCAGGCTACCCTGCAAGAAAGCAGTGCTGAAGTCAAGAGAGTGGAGCTCGTAGTCGCGCTGAGCGGCTATGTGCAGCAGCACCCGAAGAGTGGTCATCTTCGGGGTGGGAGAGAAGGTCTGAAAGTAGTCAACTCCCTGCCGCTGACTGAAGCCACGAGCCACGTACCGCGCCTTGAAGACAGGTGGAGAGCCCGGCGGCCGCTTCACCCTGAAGATCCACATCCCACTGACGATGTTCGCCCCAGGAGGGGGAACCTCGTCAACGTAGGTGCCTGTGGACTTCCAGGAAACCATCTCTGCATCCATAGCTGCCTGCCACTGAGAGGAGTAGGGACCCTGACGGCCTCCGCGTAAGAGCGCGGAGTCGGGATGTCTAGTGCATCCGGGTCTCCCTCAGGGGCAAGCAGTACAGACGCGAGATGAGGTGAAGCAGCAGCCAGACACTGAAACTCCTCCTGCCTGTCCTCAAGGACGTCCGTGCCAAGAGCACACTCACCCCCGACGGACGGAGGACAGACAGACGCAGACTCAGCAACAAGACTAGCAGCGTAGTCTAGACGACAGCGAGCAGCAAAGTCGACGAGCTCAGCAACAAGAGCAGACGCAGCAGTGGACTCAAAGGAGGGGTCAGTGACGACAGTAGCAAGGAGACGCGTGACAGTAGGACTGGCAGCACGAAGAGAGTCCGACTCAGGGTCGGCAAGCGCAGGAAGAGAGGACTCAGGAGGAGAGGGCAAAGGGGCACGCAGAGGAGCAGTGGACGGACGCACAGACATCCGGTGCGTGCCAGGGACAGGAGGAGGACACTGACGCGAACTACGACCACTAGTGCGAGCAGCACGAACAGGCGACGCAGGACAAGACGCAGGCTCACGACGCTCAGCAAGACCCCCAGTAGGACCAGTGTAGGGAGAGGGAGAAGGCAGTGGGGAGGCCGGCGGTAACTGTGACTGCGACTGGACAGGCGGTGGACCCTCTAAGAGAGGAGGAAGACCAAGAACCTGCTGAAGGAGCGGAACGAAGTACAGCCGAGGCCGCGCAGTGGCACCAGACACAGCAGGGACAGCACCAGCACCCTCAGCACCTCCGGCAGCACCAGCGCCAACAGCACCTCCAGCGACAGGACCTCCAGCAGCACCAGCAGCACCCGCAGCACGACCACCTCCAGGACGGACAGTAGTAGTCTCAGAACCAACACCCTCAGCAGCTCCAGCTCCAGGCGGACCCGCAGGCCCAGCAGCTCCGGGACCGGCGGCACCAGCACCCTCAGCGGCCGAAGAAGCCCCAGCTCAAGTAGTACGCCTCCAGCGGCGAGCAAACCACTAGCGCAGCTCCTATGGAGAGAGTGGCTCCCGCCGAGACGAAACACCCGGAGAACCTCCAGGCCCAGTACCGCCAGACGCCACAAGGGGAGGTCCAGTGGCCGCAGGCTCCACACCTCCAGGCTCAGCAGCTCCAGACGCAGCACCCCCAGGCTCAGCACCCCCAGGCTCAACACCCACGCGCGCAGCACCCTCAGAGTCAGCACCCCCTGGCTCAGCACCCCCAGAGGCAGCACCCCCAGGCTCAACACCCCCAGGCTCAGTACCCCCAGACTCAGCACTCCCAGAGTCAGCACCCCCAGGCTCAGCACCCCAAGGCTCAGCACCCCCAGCAGTACCTGAGTCACCAGCAACCTCGACCGGCTCGACTGCATCTACCTGGGACACACCTGAAGGGGCAGGACCCTGAGGGGGAAGGGGGTCTACCGGGGGGGGACCTGGCACAAGGAAGTGCGGTGGCGGCGAGAGGGAAGGAGTGCGGTAGGGGAAGAGGCGGTAGAAGGGGACGGACTCGTCGAACGTGACGTCGTGGGAGGACAAAACACGACGAGAGGAGGGGTGGTAGAACTGCCACCCTGGGGCGTCAGGGGGGAAGCCTAGGAAGACACAGGGAGCAGCACGAGGGGACAGCTTGTCCGCAGACAGGTCGCGGACAAACGCCCGAGATCCCCAGACACGGAACGCAGACGCATCGCCGACCTTCCCCGTCCACACCAGAGCTGGGGAGGTCTCCGGCCGGGAGACTCTGGGATGAAGGTTGAGCTGATGCGCCGCGTACCGAACCGCAAACGGCCACAGAAAATGGGGGGCACCCGCATGCATCATGGACGTACGAGCGACGTCCATGACCATGCCAATGCGGCGCTCTGCAATCCCATTTTGTTGCGGTGAGTCCGGAAGCGTGAAGGTCTTATGTATGCCTTGCGCACGACAGTAGGCACGCAGAAGGCCAGAGGAGAACTCTTCGCCCCTGTCCGAGTGCAGACGCAACACAGGAAAGTCCGAGCCAAAGCTCTGCCTGAGCTGGAGATGAGCTGCGCGGATCCAGTCGATCAGCACCTCAGCGACATCACCCTTGCTGCGCAAGGGGAAGACTGTGGTGTAACGCGAGTAGTCGTCAACCACCAGCAGGAAGTAGCGCTCGTGACCCTGTCCACGGACGCGGGCTGGGCCCCACACGTCCATGTGAAGCGTCTGCAGAGGAGCCTCTGTCGGGGGAAACTGGGAGGAGTGAGGGGCAGCCCGGAGCCGCCCCTCGACACAGGGGACACAGGAAGGTCCTGGCCCCGAAGGAAGGGGAGGGAGAGACCGGGGGAGACCAGAGACAAGGACACGGGAAGCCATGCCCCGAAGACGAGGCAAGGAGGGGTGGCCAAGACGGTGGTGCCACAAGAGAGTCTCGTGAGACAGGAGGCGACACGAGCAGGGGGCAGACTCAGGACCAGACCTGGACGCAGCAGCAAACACCTGACCCGACGCAGCTACCTGACCAGACGCAGGGACTGGAGGAGACTCAACGGTCAGGGTGTGAGACTCGACCCGGGCCGACGCGAAAACGTGGCTAGGTGTCGGCCTGTGCGGGCGTCCGAGCAGTGGGTCCCCCGCTGACTCGCAGGAGTAAACTGGTGAACCCCCGCATCCTGCAGGTCAGCACCACTCACCAAGTTCGTCGAGAACGAGGGGAGGTACAGACCCGACAGGGTGCCCGAGGGGGCAGCCGGACACGAGAGGACAGTGGAGAAGTGAGCGAGGACAGGACCCCCAGAGGGGTCAGCCAGGGAGACTGCAACCGGCCGACCAAGCGGCGTGAGTGTGGTGTGGTCTCGAAAGAAGGAGCGAGAAGCCCCTGAGTCAAGTGTGAAGGTGAGGGAGGCCGAAGCCGGCGCAGTACCTGAGAGCGCAGCCTCACCAGTACCTGAGAGTGCAGACGCACTGGCACCTAGAGCAGTAGCCTCACAAGCACCTAGCGCAGCAGTACCAATGCCCGGGTCGGGCGGGAAACACCGGTAACAGTCACCCTCATCACTAATAATCACAGCATACATGGCAGCAAGGATAGCATCAAAGTCAAGATCAAAGATCGCTACGCCAGCCCTAGACAGCTCTCCCCAGCGGGGAATCTCACTAGCCTCGGGGAACTGCTGACGCCAAGCGTCCGTCAGGCGGCCAAAGCAGCGCTGGGTGGAGTGGGCACCCCCACACTGCTCACCTGCGCGGTCGCCGGAACGAAGAACGTAGGTGCACGGGCCAAGACCTCCACCACGCTGACGCTGCGTGTACCACTCACGGAGCTGCTGAGGCGGGGGGATGTCCCGAGAACGCTGCTGCTGCTGCTGCTGCTGCTGGCGCTGACCACCACCTGAGCCGCTCCGCTGCGGGGCACTACCCCGACCGGCTCCACCTCCTCCGCCACCGCCGCCTCCACCTCCGCCACCACCGCCGCCTCCGCTCCCACCGCCGCCGCCGCCACCGCCGCCGCCTCCGCTGCCGCCACCACCACCACCACCCCCACCACCACTCCCACCGCCACCCCCACTCCCTCTGCCACCGCCACTGCCACCTCCACCGCCCCCGCCAGCTCTACCCGTGCCCTTGCCCCCCTTGCCCTTGCCAGGGCGGCGTCTTCCGCTAGGGGCAGACGTCGCGCCGACCAACTCAAGACCAAGCAAGTCGGCAGCAGCAGCAGAGGCAACAGAGGGCAGCAGGGGGGAAGGAGAACACCCCTCAAAGATGGGGGTGCGCGGGTCACCACGAGAGGCTCCTACAGCGACTATGCTCTTCTCCGCCGCTAGGAGGGCCTTCTCGAGGAGGTCGACAGTGAGGGTGGTGGGACAGACTGAGAGGAAGTGGTCCCTGACTACGCGAAGGGAGTCAGGGAGGCGAGTGACTATGTAATAGAGAGCGATGTACATGGGGGGGGGTTCTTGGCGCAGAACTCAGCAGGAAGTGCAGCGCGGTAGCGAGTGTCAGAAGTGCGGAGGTGCGTGATGAGGTCAGCGACTGTAGGAAAGGCAGCAAGGTCAGGAAAGAGGTACGGTAGCATGAGGCGGCTCAGTGCAGCAGTGGCAGGGGAAGAGTAGCGCGCAACTACGGCGTCGTACAAGGTCTGAGCACTCTTGTATTGACTAAAGTGCGAGCGCTCAGTGGTAGGAAGGTGGCGACGCACAGCAAGACGTGCAGCAGCATCGCGCGTGGCCCACTGAGAGCGAACAGTGGGGTTAGCATCAGCAGCAGGAGCAGGGGAGGCGCCAGAGGTGAGGTCAAAGAGAGAAAGACCGTCCGCCCTATCGCACTGTAAAAACAGCTGCAGGTCGTCGACCCAGACCTCAAAGTCAATGGCTCGACCCTCAGCGTCAAACGCGAGGACACTAGGGGTAGCCATGACGACAGACTAGCAGTGCAAGCAGTGGGGGAAGGGCACGCAGTAGCAGTGGGGCTGTGCTCACCAGACAGGGCAGGTCGGGCGGCTCAGCAGTAGTGCGGCTCGGCTGCGGGGCGGCTCGGCGGTACTGCTGCTCGGCGGCCCGGCGGCTCGGCGGCGGCTGCTGGGCGGCTCGGCTGTACTGTGGGTCGGCGGCCCGGCGGCTCGGCGGCTGCTGCTGGGCGGCTCGGCTGAACTGCGGCTCGGCGGCTGCTGCTGGGCGGCTCGGCTGCTCCGGTACCGGGCAGCGTGGCGGGCGGCTGCTCGGGCGGCTCGGCAGGAGGGGAGACCGGCGGGGCCGCGAAGGTGAGGCGGCGGGGCCGCTACGTGAGGGCGGCGGGGCCGCGAAGGTGAGGCGGCGGGGCCGCTACGTGAGGGCGGCGGGGCCGCGACGTAAGGGCGGCGGGGCCGCGTAGGTAAGGGCGGCGGGGCCGCGTAGGTAAGGGCGGCGGGGCCGTGTAGGTAAGGGCGGCGGAGCCGCGTAGGTAAGGGCGGCGGAGCCGCGAAGGTGAGGGCGGCGAGGCCGCGAAGGTGAGGCGACGGGGCCGCGACGTGCGGGCGGCGGGGCCGCGACGTAAGGGCGGCGAAGTCGCGACGTGAGGGCGGCGGGGCCGCGACGTGAGGGCGGCGGGGCCGCGAGGTGAGGGCGGCGGGGCCGCGACGTGAGGGCGGCGGGGCCGCGATGTGAGGGCGGCGAGGCCGCGACGTAAGGGCGGCGGGGCCGCGACGTAAGGGCGGCGGGGCCGCGTAGGTAAGGGCGGCGGGGCCGCGTAGGTAAGGGCGGCGGGGCCGCGACGTAAGGGCGGCGGGGCCGCGTAGGTAAGGGCGGCGGGGCCGCGTAGGTAAGGGCGGCGGGGCCGCGTAGGTAAGGGCGGCGTAACGGGCCGCTAGGGGCGACACGGAGGGTCGCGAAAAAAAAGGAACGCGCGCCTCGGGGCGCGCTTCGGTGGGCCCTGGGAACAGTCTCTAGGAGGGGACCTACTCTGATTCCATCTGAAGAAGTGAACGTGAATGAACTATGAGTGAAGTGGGTACAAGTACTAACCCTAATTGGGTTGTACCCCCTATGGGATACCCCACTATAGCCTACACAAAAGCATAAGCTATAATGTTCTGACACTGATGACTCAGGGTTACCTATTTCATAATGGGTTTCCCCTGAAGCGAGTACCCTAGGGGCAGCGACGGGGCCGCGACGAGGCCGCAAGAGGGCGGCACTGGGGCCGCGAAAGGGCGGCGACGCGGCCGCGAGAGGGCGGCACTGGGGCCGCGAGAGGGCGGCGACGAGGCCGCGAGGAGCAGCTGCAGGGCTGCGACGGGCGGTGACGCGGCCGCTAAGGGCGGCGGCGGGGCCGCGAACGGCGGCGACGGGGCCGCGAGAGGGCGGCGACGGGGCCGTGGAGGCGGGGCCGCAAGGGGCCACTGAGGGCGGCACTACGGGCCGCTCAGGGCGGTGCGACGGGCCGCTCAGGGCGGCGCGACGGGCCGCTAGGGGGCGGCGACGGGGTCGCGAGGGGCCGTGAGAGGGGGCGACGGGGCCGCTAAGGGCGGCACGACGAGTCGCTAAGGGGAGGGCGGCACACAGGGCGCGCCTCGGTCAGGGGCGACTCGATCTCAGGGCAGGAAAAAGAAAGAAAACTCGATTTTCAGTGGTGGGCCCTAGGAAAAAGTTCCCACTAGGGAACCTGCTCTGATAGCATGTGAAGAAACGAGGAATGAATGAACTAGCAAGCAGGTGGGTACAAGTAGGAAAACCTAGAAGTGTTGTACCCCATATTGTCTACCCCACTACAGCCTATACAGACTATAGCATATGAGTTTGACAATAATTACACCCAACCACCGCTATTTTCTTTCGGTCTATTTTCCACCCCACTTGCACAAGTGGGGTATGCACCCTTTCTAAATCTTTGACCGAGGGTTGTGTGGGGCATCATTTAATTTTTGCGAGAGTCTGTTCCAGATCCTCAAAGAGAGTACTGTAGAAGTGGCGCTATGGAATCAGATTCGCATAATGAGTTTAAACTTCGAGCATTAGGCGTCATTCATAGCCGCAGTCATCTAAGTGTTGAACTGAAATGGTCGAAAACGTGTAGGGTAACTTTGAAACACGAGATTAGTGGGTTGGGTTTCCCCTTGAAAATAGCGGTGGTTAGGTGTATCGCCCTGCCCACGTCAGGACGGTGCGCCGCGTGGGTTGCAAGGGGTGCCGAGAGATCCCGAGGGGTGCTCGAGATTCACTCGAGATTTCAGTTGTAAAACTGAATCTCGAGCGAGTCTTTTTGTGACATGGCGAAATAGTGAAATTCGCCATTTAAGTCGCGCGTGTAACGCGATTGTTTCTTACAGGTACAAAACGGTGAAAACCGTTTTACAACTGTAAAGCTTGGGGAAACAGAATTCCCACACGAGCGTTCATGATTCTACACGGGAGTTCATGATCGCTCGCGAGAGGAGTCAGCAGGGGCATTTGGCAGACATGTAATTTGAAGGCAGTTATTTCAAGGACTCAGATCAAGCCAAATGTAGCAGAAGTTTGGCAACCGTTTTCAAGACAGCAAGACGAACTCCTAGAAATGCAGTTTATGAATTGTTTGCTATTTTCCTTTGCATGTGTGTTAGGCGAAATATATATACGTGCTTGTGCGAAGTTGTAATCAATCTTTTGAGTGAATATTTTATCTTTCAACGTATTGACGTGAACAGAACTCTCTGCACACGACCAGTTTGTCGTCAACGCTGCGTATACAAGTTTTGAGAGTGCTCTAGTGCACGCCGTTGTTTTTACACTTAGTGCGTCCCTCTACAAACACGGACCCTTGGTTAGGGGCTGGCTTTGCCAGGCACCCGAGGACCCTTGGAGGTGACCCTGTGGGGACTACCTGGTGTGAATTAAAGGTGCATTAGTAGCTTCTACATCCCAAATAGTGGTTAACAGTTTCGTCATGTATATATTTTTAGGAAATGAATGCGTAATCGTTTTCGAAAATATTACATCGCTTTAGCTGACATAAATTATAAAACCCGTTCGGAAATGGATGGGACTTGGGAGGCATCAACCCTAAACACCAGGCGGGTTCCTGTGTTTATGGTTGATCCATCCCGACAATGCGAACAGGTTCCCTATTTGTTTTTGTTTTTTAGGCTATCTAACATTTCCCAGTAGCGTCGGTACCGCTGGTAGCGCTACCTGGCTCGCTAAACGACGGTACCGGATGAAAAAAATGATTCATTTACGATATCCTAAGAATATTGAGGTGTGAGCGAAAATGCAAGCCGTGACGAACCTTTCTATTAATCCCCCCTCGCGCAGCAGTTTGGTCAGTTTCGGGCCTCTCGGCCCCTGGTTGATCACCTCTCTGGCACTGTACGGCCCCTCGTTGATCATTTCCCATGCGAGTAAAATACAGGCGGTGCTGGGACGGCCAGCAGAGTTACATAGCGGGAAGAGAGGACTGGCTGATGGTGCTAGTGGACTTTCATAAAGCCTACGACACGGGGTTGAGGCATTCTCCCCTCCACTTGCTTCTCACATCCATCATTGTGAAACAAGTGAACAGGAATGAGAATGACTAAGGAAAGATTGGGTACAAATACAACCCTAGAAACCCTGTACCCCATATGTGCTACCCCACTATAGCCTACAGCAACTATGTCATATAAATCTGACACACCCCCATAGGCAAAGTGGGGGAGAACAAGGGGTCACAAGACCAGTCAAGTAAAGCAAAGCAGAGCAAGCTCAGGGTGGATCACAACGTCACCACACAGTCCGAGCACAAGAGCAGGGCCAGAGGCCAGTTCACATGCAGGAGTACAGACATATATATATAAAACTAGACAAGCAAGAGCAGGTATATATATGTCACAGTACAAGTAAAGTCAAGAGGAGAGCAAGTGAGGCAAGACAGGCACAAGACCCAGCTGGGTGCAGAGGCGCTGATGGTCACAAGGCGCGAGTGCCTTGGTGAACACATCAGCAGTGTTGGCCTCAGAGGCCACGTACGCAAGCCGCAACTGTCCACGCTGCTGCAGCTCACGAGCAAGGAAGTAGCGAAGAGCAATGTGCTTCGTTCTGTGCTCCAGACGCTGCTCTCGACACAAGGCCAGCATGGCCTTGTTGTCTACGTACAGCACTGGAGGAGAACGAGGCGGCTCTCCAAGGTCAGTCAGCAGGTAGGTGAGCCAGCGAAGCTCCTGTGCAGCCATGGCCCCAGCGTAGATCACAGCCTCACAACTGGAGCTGAGAACCGAAGACGAGCGAGTAGCCCGCCACGAGACAGAGCCGGAACCAAGACTGAAGGTGTAACCCTGTGACGACCGCTGCGTAGCCTGATCGTCAGCCCAAGAAGCGTCCGCGTGCCCTGTAAGGACCACTGGACTCCGCCCTCCAAGCACTAGCCCCATGCCCGACGTACTGCACAGGTAGCGCAACACCCTCTTCGCTGCAGCCATGTGCTCTGGTCGGTGTCTCCCAGGAGCAACATAGCGTGCAAGAATGCTCAGAGGGTATGCAAGGTCAGGTCGTGTGCAGGTCATCAGGTACATGAGGCAGCCAACAAGCTCTGGGTACGGGCCACTCGACTCTACGGACTCATCCGAAGGCAGAGCTGAGAGCGAGTGGCGAGTAGACAGAGGAGTGGCCTGAGGCGAGGAGTACGTGAAGCCGAAGCGCTGAAGGACCTACTGCATCATGTGTGACTTAGTCAAGGTAATGGTGCGGCGTGCTCTGTCCCGAGTAATCTGCAAGCCAAGGTAGCTGCGCAGTTCACCCAAGTCTGTGCACGTGTGTCTCTTCAGCAGCTCGGACTTCACGTAGGCGAGTCCAGCAGTGTCCGCTGTGGCAAAGACCAAGTCGTCGACGTACACGAGGATGTAGAACGGCGGCAGAGAAGTGTCGGTGCGCAGAAACAGCGACGGGTCAGCAGTAGAAGGAGCAAACCCAAGAGCCGCAAGCGTAG